GCTGATTGTCAGAAGGAAATGAGACTAAATGAACAGGCTCTGCAAGAAGAAATGCAAGAGATTGATAAAGGTGAATCCCATCAAAGTAGTTTTGAGCTCACACCTGAATCCAATGAGTCAACTGAAAAGGAAGAGAGGATTAAAACAAGCGAAACTACAGACCTGGAGGAGAAAAACAAGGACATCCCTACAGAAAGTTCATCTCACATGGAAACTCCACAAGAGGAGACGTTTCAACCCAGAGACGTGGAGGATCATGGGGGATGGACTACATGGCTCCAAGGTGTTGCCTTGTATTTTGCATTTTCTGACTACATCTATCCCCATTTCTGAAAGTCAGTTTGCAGTAAGTAAGGGGAACTGAGCATTTCTTCCCCACTCCCATCTTTCGACTTCCCATGTATATACACCATTACAACTCTTTCCCCTCAAGCCCCATAGACAATATAGAACAGGGGTGTCCAACTCCAGTCTTCAAAAACCAGATGTGCTAAGGAGGAGTGGATCAAGAAAGAAAGCTGTTTTCCTATAGATTTCTATAGGTTTGCATCAGGCTAGCTGTTGCCATCTGGTAGACTTCAGACTGAATGTACACTTAAGGTTCTTCTGTATTGGCTTCATGTTTCCAACGAACAAGCTATGTCCATGTTTTGTACCATCTATGCCCCAACCAGTCGTGGAAGACGGCTGCCCCTTCCTGAGCCTGGTTCTTCCGAAGGTTTCTTCCTGTTAAAAGGGAGTTTTTCCTTCCCGCTGTCGCCAAGTGCTTGCTCAGAGGGGATCGTTAGATTGTTGGGGGTTTCTTTTATATTGCAGGGTCTTTACCATGCAATATAAAGTTCCTTGAGGCCACTGGCTATGAATTGGCCTAACTTAGCCAGTGGTCACATTGCATACATAGCTATTTATCAACCATCATTTGCATTCTAGATTCCAAAAGGTTGAATCTGTTGACCTGGACGTAACGTTTTCAGTGGGAGAAATGTTTCCTCACTCATCCAAGTGACTGAAGGAGAATGTTTCTCCCATTGAAAACGCTACGTCCAGATCAACAGATTCAGCCTTTTGGGATTTACTTACCTGGATGCCTGAGCATGCATCAGTGCATTCTCTATTGCTTTTCCATCTTCTATGTATGGTTGATTATAAGGTTTTCTCCATTTTCTTGAACTCAGTTGGAAACATTTCTTAGCATGAGCTTTAATTAACATAATTTGCTGATAAAATAAAAAGAAACTTTGAAAGGATTTAAAGCTTTGTGCAGTTTGATTATTTGATTGTTAGCAAAAGGTTTGGAAATATGCTATTTTTGTGGGCTAGTCTGTTCTTTTCTTTATCTGTGGTTTTAAGTTTGCATCAAGGTTGTTTTGTACCTCACTTTTGTTGCATTTCTGTATTTGCTTTAAATTAACTTTAGATATTTTAATGTATCTGCTTTAAATTTAAAGCAAAGGGTATCTTGTATGCAGAGATACTCTGTAAAAATAAAAACAAGTTTAAAGATTGGTTTTACCAATGTCAGAAAAATAGTGTCAGAAAAATATTGCAAAATAATTTAAACTAACGATCACATAATTTATTTCCATCACTGTATTCCTTTGTGATAATAAATAAAAAAAAAACCCAGTTATTTTAGCTTTAAATTCACATGAAATATTGTGTATCTTTAACAGATTCTGTATGTTTTAAGTACAGAATGATGAGATTTTGTGCTCTTTTCAATGGCTTTTAACGAGACACAAAAAAAAATTAAAATTAAAATTAAACACATGTAAATAGTCAACTTGTGTTTTAATCTAGGTGCAGTTGTAAACAGGTACAGTTTAGGTCAATTGTGAAATGGTGCCCAGGTAGTCTAGCTCATGGCGTCCATAGGTGCAATTGCATGAAGCCTCAGGACCAATGTCTTCGTGCAAGAAGGAATGAAATGAACACTGTCAGTCCTTTAGTGGCTTTAGTGACTTGTGCTCACAGTCAAGCACATGTAAATCCTCTGACATTCCCATTCCCCTTCCACTATATATGTTGTGTCCTCCAAACACACAGGCCTGCCCTGCTTGACCATCTCAATCTCTGTCACTTTCGCAAACAAAGATTTTAAAGTTGGAACTTGCCTCTGAAGTAAACCTACATATAGATGTAGATCTCCAGATCTACATCTAATGGCTGGTTTGGTTTCATTCTCTGTCCTTGCTGTGCCCCTCAACTTTCCCCTTCCTGCCTTATATAGCTGTCTTATATTTCCAACACCTTTCTATAAGGTGTTGGAAATATAAGGCAGCTTCCTGACAACGTCGCCAGTACCTTGAGCCTTGGTGCTCACCACATTGCATAGTTTAGCTGTACCTTTAACTGGGATCATTTTGGCTTCCCCACTTTCTTGATCTAGGCTCCTAACTTCAGTAATTCCTGTGGTGTGCTGCACAAGAAATGGAATGATGGGGAAATCATTACCCATAATGACTGCAAATGGTAACTTTTAAGCCAAGACTTCTGACATAACAAAGGTCTGAACCTTGCTGTCAGATATACACATGTGCATTTCCATGTATATACATGTAGCTTATGCAGGACTTGTCTTCATTCCATTTATCTCGAGGCACCAAAGTGGACAATGCTGACTGAAATCTTTCCCGTTTCTAATGATACTGTAACACACTGACCATTAATCAGAAAAGGGAATGGGAGGAGCTGCTTGCTGAATTGTACACACGGAGGTTGGCCTAGGAACTGTGCAAAAACAGATGATTTTGTCTCGTTTGTAAGTGGACAAGAATACTGAGTGTAACATAAAACATTACATTTTATATATGGTGTGGAGAATCCAGATAATGCACTAAAACAATGTGGGAGAGCAATGGCTGTTATGATGCTGTTAACATTAGTTTCTTGCTAATCTTTATATATATAGGTTTGCAGTGTCACTGACAAGAAGCATGTTTTTCAAGATTCCCATGATTTCGTTCATACAGTCAGACACAGTCACAGCTCAGTATAAAAAAATGGAGTGTAAGGAATGTAGAATATGCACAAATTAAACAAATGCAGCATGTGTGCACTATATGTCAACAAATGGTGTATATTTGCTATGTGCTACAAATGGGGAACATACAGACATACATATGCTACAGCCATTATAGTATGATTAAATCATGCATTTATATGGGAAGACAGCAGTTACATTTTTGAATATATTGCAATATATGCAAGCAACATGTATAGGCATGTGTTGATTAATATGAAAAAACACTGATGTGATGAAAACCAGTGCTATAATTTAACATTACACCAGGTACACAACTATTTTGTACTTTGAGAACACCAGAAGAAAGTAGTTCCTCATTTTCAACTAATAACTCATAACTAATGGCTATAGTAATAATTACTAAATCATGCATATAAGTTTTTTATGTATTAATAATTTACATTTTAAAAGAGCAACTCTCGAGTTTCCATTGGCAGATTCTTCAGATCTCATGAACGTTTTGACCAAAGAAGGAAAAGAGAAAATCTATTGCTCCCCTCCTTGCAAAGACAGAGCTAACAGCAAAAAGCATGCTTCCATGAACATACTGCAAAGATCAAAAACTAAACACTGTATGGCCTGCATTAGTTTTTGTTTATTTCAGATAAGAATACAGACATAAAGTAAAGTACAGCTCTTCATCTAGGAGCGTTGCATGGGGGTAAGGCCAGTCCCCTTGCAGCATGTGATGGTGAGCAGATCCAGTGAGTTGTCCCTTTTATACCAGATACAGTGTATAAACCACAGATAAGAATCTGGACTCCTAACTGGTAGCTGTCAGGACTAAAGAAGAAAATCAGCATCTGAGTATACCAATGTTATTTAGCCATCTTAAATCTTATGACCTTATATGTTCCTTGAAAAAGCCTGCCACTGGCAATTTATGTCATTCCCTACTCTTTTTTCAAGACAAAGACAGAGTCCAGTACATATAAGCAGCAGGATAGAGGACAAGTGATCAGTAGGGGAGGAGATCACATGGAAAGGTTGAATAAAAGGCTTTATGAACGTGGCAGGACTCAAGTAAAAGTAAAAAAGTACAGGCTCTGAAATGTACTCAAAGTAAGAAAGTAAAAAGCAGCTCTGTGGAGGATATTTCTATTTTTTTTCCTGTTTTAAGTTTTCTTAGTGTACAGGCTGTAATCAGCGGACCTGCTAGTCTTTGTAGATTTACACAACTGAATTCAACCAGATGTCAGCAGATGTTTCATGAGTTGTCCTGGCTGATTTCCGTCCTGACAGTACACTGTTTATGCTGTCTTTATATTAGACACTACGCAGTTGGTATGAGGGTGAAATTCAGTCAGTGAATCCAAGCATCGGACCATAAAACCACAGGCACTGTGCACCACACACTGTTCTTTAAATCCATCACAGTGCAGCAAACTAACCTGTTTATCCTGCAATCACCTGCAGAGGTTTTTCATGCAGCCTTTAAATAGCAGTTAGTCTACCTCAGTTTGATTTGCAGCACATTTCACAATATGGGAAAAAATGTCATGTTACATGAACAGACCCAATATCTGATTTAAAACATAAGGAATTACATGTAAGCTTTAAAATTCCAGTGTCTTAAATCCCACTGAGCAGTCCTTACCTTTATATCTAACCTGTCTTGCACCTCTCCTCTCCTCCCCTGTCTTTCTTATCTTTCTCCATCTCTGAGTGACATTAGCTCTCTTTCTCTCCAGCAGCTGGACCTTTTAGCTAGCAACACACTTTGAGACAAACTGCACACAAACACTTTGTGTGTTTGCTGATCTTTGTTGAGCTGACAGAAATGCTCCATTTGAAATTACCTGCCACTTAAAAGAAAGGCTCTCCCTTTATGTTCGCTCCTCTTTTGTAGCACTAGCTAGAGGCTGAAGTACTGCAACTGTCACTTACGGACACCTCTAGTTGTTCCAGTGTTGTGGCAAAAACAAGACAAAAAAACACTGTCCCACTTTTAACGCTGACTTTGGCACTATCTCTTTTTAAATCTCCTTTTGTGACTAATAAACGTCCAGGATATGTTTCTGTTTAGGCTCAAATTGGTTTGATGTTTCAAGACTCGCACTGACGAAATAATAACTCGACCTAAATACATTAAAGCAAAAATAACAAACCTGTTTTGAAAACGTGAGCAGTAGAAAGTACAGCTACCTGAAAATTGTATTACTCTGTTACTGGATATATTTAAATAGGAACAATATTTCATGTCTGCAGCTTACAGTGTATGTTGTCTGGACAAAGAAGGAACGTGTCACCATGGCAACCAAGAAAAGAGTTGCATTTTCAACCCAAAGCCACGATTGTTTTCTAAACCTATGTAGATGTTGATACCTAAATCTGAAAATTAAACCTATTTTTCATTTATATTGAAAAATAATACAAATGATATGTGAAACTCATTGACTTTTATATGAGTTATGGGACATAAGCTGCAAAATGATGACACTTTGACGTGGATTTGCGTGTGAGTGTTCTGCGCTTGTTTCATTTTAAAGTTTGAATTTATTTTTGATTCTGTTTCCATGAAAGCCTTTTTTCTTAAACAAGCTTAAGCAGTGAAAATGAGATCTGCCGATGTTTGGACAGAAGATGAAATTTACTCGCTGATCCAAGGACTATTCCACAGGTATCCTGCATATCGTTGCAGGATTCCCATCTCTGTTTGTTCAGATGTTTAACCTCACAAGGGATATAGTTTATCGGCTCTGTATATTTAGT